AAAGTTTCTTCATTGAGGAACAAAGGTATATTTTTCCTTTTTTTTAACTCCACGAGGACAAAATCGCGAGCAAATAGTATGATATACATTTGAACAACTCTGATATATTTTCTGCTACTTTCATAAATCCACAGCTAGTATGTTAACTTGAAATAATCATCACTCACTTTATCGTATTCACAAAGTTATTTGCATAGATAACATTTTAATACCGACTTTATAGTGGTCTTAGTGTGAAGGGATTTTAAAATGACATGCGGCCGAATAAGTCGATAGTTAAGTCCCACACCGGCGCCGGCGCCAGTTGACATTCTTGCAACATCGGCGAGCAACTTTCATGAATAGTTAGCTGACTACATTGAAACTGCTTTGTTGCATACTTGCTTTGTTTACATTTATGAAAAAAAAATAATAATCTATCACTAATGCTAGGTTCCTGAAGTTTCCATTTATTTTATCACTAACTTTTGCCCGCGATTATGTCTGTGTGGAATTGAAAAAAACGGAAGTGCCTGTGTTCTTCCAAACTGTCCTCTGCATCTATACCAAATTTTATCGAAATCTGTTCAGCTGTTTAGGCTATAACTGTAACAATCATCTATCCATCCATCCAGCTATACTTTCACATTTATAATATGTATTAGTAAGATAAGATTCATTAGTGTTATGTTAAACTAAATTTCAAAGAAGTAAAACTCAAGTTACGTAGTAAGGAAACGAATTTAATGACGTTGTCGCACCAAACACACTAAATTCGTTAGTGTGCTAAAAGTAGCTAGAAAACCGGCCCTAAGTCTTAGAAACAATAAAATAACCGTACAGCATCTTTTGCTACAAATTGCTGAGAAACAATTTCTTTCGTATCCAATTCTCTACTTTTTGGTCTTTGTGTGAAATCAAATCAAATTAATTTTCAAACAAAGGACAGTCGCAGTAACCGAGAGATATGTATATTCTATTCCAATAGATCACTGTCTCATCAAGTAGGTCACGTTACTTAAGACGACAATAGGCTATGTAACAAAGATAATTGATTCAAATTCAGTGTCATTTGCGAGCGCTATTGCTGTAACAGAAGGAGAGAGAGAGAGAGAACGAGAAAGAGAACACATATTTAAACAAATACCGAAGGAAAGAGTGTCTATATGCTTTTAGACCTCCGATAGCGATTTGAAATATTTGAAAACATTAAATAAAAGTGAAGACTTATTGGCTTTAGAACTGTTATAGGCTATAACAGTCGTAAATCTTTAAAAACGTATGGCCGACGTACGGCACGTGCCGCAATTGCACTTCTAAAAACGGCAGAATTAAAAATAAATCGGTTAAGGCGACACTAGTCTCTTAAAAATTGTAAAGAAAATTACTAAAACCTAGTTACAACTAACTTTCAGACAATTAATGGAGATTGGTAGAAATCGGTAGTTGCTCACGGGTCACTGTTTTACTTTATAACCGTTAACCTTATGAGATTCAAGTATACACAAATCAATAGTAGGAAATAGTTTACGTTTATGTTTTACGCTTATCGTATGACTTTTGCTCTCATAAAAGCACATCATTTAATTAACTATTTTCTTTATATTCCTCGTGCGGTGGAGTCATAACGAGAATCAATGCTGAGCGATGACATTACCTGTGTTTAAAGCCAATCTTAACTCATGATTATAAAAGATTAATCGTAGGATTTTATAGCTTTAGCAATTTTCGAATGAGAATTCAATTTTACTAATATTATGAATGGGAAAGTTTAGATGTATAGATGGATGTTTGTTAGAGTTTGTAATTTTGAAATTTTGCATAGATGTAGAGACAATCTGGAAGAACACATAGGCTACTTACTACTTACTTAAAGAGTCGCGGGCTTAAGCTAGTTCAATATATTTGTTATTTAACTTCAATATTTGCGGTACTTATAATTGTTTTGTATTTGTCATTGAATATTTTAAAACTGCATTATGTAAAGTAATTGTCATCCTATGTGATTCTTTTGTTTCATTAACTAACACATAACAAATTGAACTATTAATCATTTACGAAAGACACCATTTAAAAATCTGTTTATAAACAGATATAAACTAATTCGTCTTTGTATAACAAACAAATTATTTATGGTATGACATAGAAAAGAAACATTACACGATAGACCAAACACACAATAAGGTCCTTGTACATGCTTGTTTCGTTTTATCGGCGTAGATTTGCACACAATGTTTAAAAACATACGGCGAACACGTTGTGTGTCACGCTTTGTGCTCTACAATAATACTGTTACACAAATACCTATCCCAAATGTCATAGTTTTATTTTTTTTCCAGCCAGTTTTGCGTTAATCTAAAAAATTTCCTTAAAAGCTTTGAGAAATAACTGGCCACAAACCATGTCAATTTTCTATCAAATTTAGTTTATAATTAAAGTTTTAGGTGAATACTGCCTAAATATGTTTTTACCGTAAAATTAAATGGAAATTTTAATAACATAACATGTATTTTTATATCATTCAAAAAAAATTATTTAATATTTGCAATGTGCAAAGCTAGTCTTCATATATTTACGTTGCTACATGCGTTCTCTACACACATTAAGTAATTGGCATTATGCATTACATTATTAATTTACCACTAATATAATAATTAATATAAACCAAGCCATGTTTATTTAAGACATTGCAAATATTTTTATTGTTGAATACTAATTCACTACAGCTACGTCATTTTTTTGTCAAAACAACCTATCGTGTCGTTGAACAAATATAATTTAAAAAATCATAAGCCGCGCAATTCATGTACTACTAACAATTCTTCTAATAAATTTATTGCCTTTTTAGGACATTAATTGTGTGATCAGACGTTAATAATGACGTTTTATAAAATAAATAAAATCAGAGAGTGCGCGCCACAAACGTTATTAATTTGCACTGGTTTCGCAGCCGTGGTACAAACATGGTTAAACGGAACTTATATGTGGCCCGCCGCGGTTACTTGCAAGGGCGACAACAACCATATAAGTACATTTATAACGTCATAAATTTATCATTATTTATTTACTAGTAATGATTTTATACGTCCACTTAATTAAATAAGACAGTACCATAGTTATCTTCAAAATATCCAGTAATAGAATTTGAATATTTTTAACCAATATTTAGTATCTGATAAATCTTGAATCCTAATTTATGTTGTCGATTACGTATAATAAATTGATACTCCATTTTGAGAGTCGATTATAATGATGATAGTTGAATCGCATTGTTCCAGAAATTATCTCGATTCATCGTTATATTGTGTGCAATGAATACCTGGCCGGCTGTAGTCAGATTCTCGGGAGCCGGTCGTCCGAGACGTCCAATGTTTATCGTCCATACAGACCAATATTGACATTCTCTTTGTCTACTAACTGACGGCTAATCTCTTTGTAGTGGATTCTCTTTTGTGTTTTGTTATACGTCGCTATTTATGGCTTTCTGATTTTTACTTCAGCCCTTATACAATCATCGTATATCTCGAAGGTAAACATGACTAGGCATTTATAATCGAGGTTTATAAGTATTTATAAAAAAATAATAAAAAGTGGCAGTATAAGATTTTGTTGTTATTACTAAAGAAATACGTGATTGGGGCATGACTAAATTCTGTATCGGATTATAATTATTTATTAGACATTTTAAATAATTTTACCAAGTAAAAAATATAAGGGAAACTAGAAGTAATTTATATGAGTTTTGTCTTATGCCTGGTTGTCATAGGACTTCTCTTTTCTCATACCTCCCTAATTCGCTGAGTCTTGCCTAGATTTTTAACCCATTAAAGGCCTGACAATGCAAATCATTTTGCATCACAAGAACGATGTTTATTTGCCTTCTTCCATTATACTTTCCTTATACAAAAAACTACAAACATCGATAAAATAAACAGTTGTCTAATTATCGATTACATACTTATCTAAGAATTTTCTTCTCTAGCACTGGTTAGTTTGGGCCGGCGTGTGGGCTCGGCCGGTCCACTTTCATGGTTTGTATGCCATTGAGACGCATCCACAATGTTGCACCGCCACATTCTGCGAGACGCACATCACATATATTACTAGAAAGTTCTCCCTATGAATTATGTCTGTAGGACACCAGACAGAAACGTTGAAATCAGTTTTAAATTTTCACCAAACCTAAACCAACCTCGAAACAAACATCTTAAGTCTTTGAACTAAAAACTATGAATACGAAATTTAATCAAAATTACTATAAATAGTAAAACAATTTGAATAATCTTATAAGCAAAGAATTTGAATTGAGTAAGCAACATTCTGTTATTCGAATAACAAACACAAGTTGCCTTTTACTAAATCAAGTCGGTCGACGGTCGTATATGTTTTTGCCCAAATATGCTTCCAGAACTTTCTTAATTTAGGTACTGTGAAACTTTAAATCGCATCCCAAATGCCATTTATTCTAAATCAGAATATAAATTAAATTGTATCGCCTTTGGAGGATTAAACTTCTGCCTACTATTATTGTATACATTCTATTTGTAAATAGTTTTATAACTAACATTACAACATTCAACAAGACATCGCAAACATTTGATTCAATTATCCAGAATATCATAGACAATTTATTTTAATTTTTAATAAAACTTTAGTGGTGATGGTTCGAAACAAGATGTAGTTTAATAGAATTAGATATTACATCTACATGTATGCGTGTTTATTGATAGGCCCATAGACAATAGGACCTCCCCGAAGACAGACCAATATAAGCACTCACAGGATTCGTTTAAAATGAAAATCATGAACACGACATAATTTTCGATAAATATTGTATCTGACGACTAGTGACTTCCCTGCGGACTGCTAAACATATAAGCATTTTAAATAATTTTCTTTCCATTTTTATTTCTATTGATTTGTGCTGTAAATGTGTCTAAATGTGTACTATTAAGTATCTATGAAATATCCTTATCGTTCAGCTGACTATTTTAATTAATGGTCTTATTTCCTGGTTGCAGGTCTGGGCCGGGCGACTGCCGACGCCCGTTATAATGTGACCGGCGCACGACAACGCGCGTCTCTCCTCAAGGTAAGCCTATCACTTACATGTTATTATTTACGCACAAACCTTTAATATTGACGGTGTTGTCACTGCTTGTTTGCTGTCTCCATTTATTAAAAATGATCTAAGATACATTGTTCGTAATAAAAACTTTCACGAACAAGTTGGTTGCGATTCTAAGTATGTTCGAAGTATTTTTTTAGTTGAAGAACTAAAGGGTGACTTTTCACAGACTTATAACTTATACATACAAATTGAAACAGAATAGTACTCTTAAGATTGATTATGTATTTAGTCAATTATCCTTAACCTTAATATTAGACAATTTATAACTTGAGACATGCAATGTTAACATTTATATCACACTAGAAAATTTATTAAGTGTTATGGGTCCTATTACTTATATTGATATAAATAAAAAGAGTTCGATGGAAGGACAATAAACAACTTGCGACATATAAATACAAGCTTGTTAACAATCTTATCCTTTGCACCGTCTATTTCTTCTACTACAATTAAAATTTATTACACGACAACTACAGACCATAAATATACATAACCATCAAAGAAGTACATAGAAAGCTTGGTAAGGCAAACTCCACTGTAACCGCTTTCGTCAAATCCAGACGTCCTCAGACGTGCCAAAAGTTTTCACGGTCTTGCAAGTGTAATGACATCAACCGAAACCAAAATATGTACCAGTGAAATTATCGAACAAGCATTGAGATAAATTCGTCGCTAAAACAAGTCTCGCAGTGATCAGGTAACCTTTAAAGGTCTGATTGTTCGCGCTCGCCGCTGGGCGCGCCGCTCGTGGCCATGAAGCCGCGGTCAACGAAATCTCTCACTTGTATTTTGTATAACACACTTTTTCAATCATATTGTACCCAATAAGTCTGTATTAATTGATTTTATTTTTACTTTACGCAAAAACCTTGGCAAATTAATCGTTGATCATTGTTCAAGCAAATAAGAACAACTAACCTCGTGAGGTAAAGACTTATTTTCGAAAAAGGATGAGATTGTTTACTTAAATCTATTAAGAAACTCGTACAATCAGTCAATCCAGGTTTAGTAATCGGTTGAACGTAGGATATGTATTACCATTGGACCAGTTACATTCATGCGCTAATTGACAACGTCTAGCCAGCCGTTTGGAAACGCATCCATAATTTGAGTGTAAATTGAACGGACCCCAAGAAATTATCGACTCTAGCAACAATTTCCTGTTCGACACTCTGGAGTTAATATGTTTCATCAATATTTGATCTCCTAGCAGTGCAATTGGTTTTAGCTGTTTTGTACAATTTAAGATACCCCGTTTTTTTAATGCTATGTAATACTAACATGTATGCCACATTTTAATTTGTGACCAATCAACAATGTGAAACTTAATGCAATTAAGAGATAAAATTCTTGTTGTTACCACGCCCATTTTGTTAGGAACTTATCGAGATAAATTTTTCACATTTGACAAGGATAGAAAGCTGCAAAGTGTGTCTTCGATGTAGACAAATAAATGTTTATACAGCGTCTCACAATGCTAAACTGCCGTAGTAAAAAAAATTGTTTGATACTTCATCAATCGTATCTCTATGACGACCGTGACGACCGAAAAGTAAAGATGTCTCGGCACATGTTTCACTCTTTAGGGTCACAATATTTTCTATCATTTGAGGACAATCATTTAAGTCCTATTATACACTTGATGAATGCTTGATGAGTACATGTAACTTATTGTACATATCGATTTTTCTTCTAGATTACACTTGCAAAAAGTTTAGCACGTGTAATCTAGAAGAGAATGCACTGAAAATGGGCATTTAAACATACATCTATCTCTCCGCTAAATCAATATCGACTTTCCATCCATTTATTCGAAAATTAGGTGTTCAGCACCGAACTCGTCAGAGGCGATCGTTTTGATTGACTTGTAATTTATTATCCTAAAAGGTACTAAAGCTTGGTGAAATTAGTCTAGTCAGTAGGTCGACTGTCGCTGTTAGTAATCAATGGCACACTTACCCAAGCGAGTGACAAAACGTGCAGCTGCGGGGAACCGAATCATTATTGTTAATATTAATAACATACGAAGCGGTCGAACCAGATCAGAACCAGTACAAACTTAACAAACGAGGCAAAATTTAGTAACATATTTAAGTATAATTAAACTTAATAAAAACTTGTATATGAAAGTCTGGACCGTGCACCAAATAAAGTTTCATTTTAATTTATTACGAATACTGTACCTTTTTATCAAAACCCGATAAACGTCGAGAATCGATGGTAATTAATACGATATTTATTTATGAGCATATTCCTTTTCAACGACTAATGATTTCACACACATAGACTAAAAGTAGTCTAAGATAAAATAGTTCAAAATCTTTGCAATTATATATTTGGAAGATATTTGTATAAACAAATTGCACAGTTCATCGTAATTATAACAACGCTCGGTGTACTTGTGTACATTTATGTAAAAAGTATACTTGAACGGGATTACCAGACATCACTTACATATCTTAATAACATTTTCCAAGACAACAGCAATGACTCATGTAGAAAGCAAAAGCAACAACATTCTTTTTAAATTATATTCTCTCGGAAACATATGATACATACTCGATGTTTTACAAAACTCTGTCATATTTCGTATATGAACTGTAAAATAAATAAGAGAAATGTCAACACATGTCTGAAATAATCACAAATTGTAAACATGCTAAAAGTATTGTTAACTTCCTATGACCATGAATGTATAAATGCACTGCCAATTTGCATTGCCAATCTATTTATGAATTTATTCGAGTTACGCAAAATATAACATAAAAACGAACATTATAAAAAGTTTCAACCGTCAAAAAATTTGCAATATAAAATATGAAATGTATTTTTCAAGTTCGCACTATTAAAAACATATTTTCTAATAAAATAATCGTATTTTCTACCAAGTATTGACAAACTCATCACTACAAGTAGTTCCCAGACGAGCCTTACTGTGTCAATAAGCGTTGTCCTGAGCTAGACACGAGCCTCGCACGGTAGTTACCTAATATGCAAATCTGCCCGACATCGTGCCTGTCCAGTTAGCGGGCAACACTTTCTCGACGCGGACACTTTATTACCATACAATGGCAATAGGCTTTATTGCCTCCGATGCCAACAGTACACGCACGAACGACCGTCCTCTAAAGACATGTAAAATCATAATCACTACTGGCAACAATAAACTTGGAGTGGTACCAACGCACGAACTGCTTACTGTACTTTATTACCTTGCATTCTATACTTGTCACAATGTAATAGCCCTATTTAACAGCTAAGCAAAACAAAGAAATCTGCATCATACTGAAAACGTATATAAACAGCACAGTTTTGATTTGAAAGCGATCAAAGTCACAACACTATAAACTTTAAATCGATTCCTTGGCAATCGGATAACATAACAGCTGTAAAATGGGCGATAACAATCGTACTCCTACATATATGTTTTTTACAAGAGCGAGTCACCCCACGTATTCATTATCACATCACACCTGCGGCCGGGGTGCCGTTGACGGAGCCCGACCGTGACTGTAGAAAGTTGGGAATGCACGATCCCCTACTTGCTCAACGTGTCGATTCACGCACTCGTATTAATTAAAGGAAACAGATACGCATCTCAGATATGTAAGCACGTTAAGGAGGATAATTCGGCGCTGCTGCTAGCTGTAGACTCAATTAACGGAGCCCTTATCATTGCTTTGTTGAAGATTCAAGCTGCACGTCGTGGCGCCGAATATTCTCAGAAGCACTCGACACGGCTCGAGTTGAAAGCTATATTTGTGTGCAACCCTGCGCTCGCACCTCTGTTCCGCGACTGTCGTCTCGCTCACGCATGCATGTCAAGGTAGGGTTCAACATTCGAGGATTTAGTACGCGCCGATAATAATACGTCGAAACGGAACATTCGAAGCGGTGTCTTGTGGATCTGTTTTATATAAACGTGAATGATTTCATTGGGTCAGATTCTAATCAAACGTGATATCCGAACTAAATGATCGAATTTACGATAAATAACAAGCGATTGCTTATTGATTTTTAATATGAAGCTCTTGGTGAACTTTTCATGAAGTCATATTAAGCAAGCTTAATATTGCCAAGAGCTACCGCGTATTCGCATCGGGCTGGGCGGCGGCGGCAGCTGGAGATCATTGCCAGATGCCGGCGATGGATCGCGACTCGCGACGGGGTCAACAGCCACTGCCCTTGTTTCGCAAATTAAAATATTTACGTGATCATACAATAACCAACGTCGCCTCGCTCATGACTAGGTTCAAGGGAACGAACAATGTTGACAGGCGGATATATTGTTATTACACAATGAGCCATGTCGTAACATACTTACGATCATCGCGACTGTATTACCGTTCAACAATAGCCGACATACAGTTTGACCCCAAAACATTCAACAAAAAGTTTGCGAGTATCTTATTTTTGCCAATACAATAGAAGACATGTTAAGGGGAGGGACTACATGCCGTGTCACCATATTAAAATTAACAATGCGCACATACAGCTTATTGCAGGCAAATCATTTTTACTTCCTTTGGTTTACATTGTACATAAAAGTTTTTAATATTTATCGAATATATAGATAACGTCTTTAATCAAGCGATATAAATCATTTCTTTAGCTCGTTGGTTGCTTTCACTTTCCTGATGTTAAGACTTCAAGGTCAGGTTTACCTACTTGTCAATTTTATTTTTATTAAAGTATCTCTTAAATCAAGCTGTAACGAATCATTTATTGATATATCATTTAACTTTTCGTTCAATGAATTACAAGGAAAGATATTCTTTTCTATTACGACTATTTGATTTAGATTGATTTTTTGGTGGTAGTGTTAGCATATATTCTACTTCGATGAATCTATTACTAAGTAACAAAATCTTATTATTAATCAGTTTCTCAATCAAATTCTTTTGGTGGATACGTTTGATGTAACAAAACGATTCAGCCAATACACACTTCATGTAACGATTGCTTGTATTCCTTTTATGAAAGTACAATTACTTAACCATTCTTTCACTAACGTAAGTAGGCGTCGTTGAATTCAAATCAGCGATGCATAGAAATTGAAAGTAGATATAATAACGGTCTACGTATCAAAAATTGCACACGTTCCCTTACCGACGCTGGCTTCGGATGAATGAGCCATTGAGTTAATGGATAAGGCCGAACCTTGATCTAATTGACAGTGACAATTCTAGATCATAGTCGATCTATCACCTATCTCCTTGAGAACATGCAAAGATATGTTGCAGATAGTCCAGTTTGAAGTACACTTTTTAATGGATTGTCCACAATTCATCCATAATTAATTAACACTGATCAGTAAGAAATGTAAACAAATTATAAAAATTATTGCAAAATTCTCCGATCACAAAACAAAAGAGTTATGTAAGATGCCAGCTAAATTAGCTAGAGAAAATAAATGTTTTGTTTTGAAGTTAATGGTTTTATTTGTAAACATAAAATCACCAGCTGTTTTTCTGCTTCCAAGTCGTATCTGTCGCACGAAGTTCGCATCTGCATTATCACTTCCGCAGTTTATATCTATAGTAAAGTTTCCACTTTACAACACATGTTAGAATTTTATTCTACGCACTTCTAAACACTTATAATAATACATCTTTTTTTATATTTGTCAGGTGTTTGCGATGTGGTACACGTGGACCGTGTTACTGCTTGTGTCCTGTGCGCTGGTCGCGGCGGAGGGCCAGGCGGAGGCCGTAGCGGGGGCGCAGACCGAGGCCCCGGTGACGGCGACGCCAGGGCCCACCGCGACGCCCCGCGCGCCATCCCGCTCGCCACCCCGCACGCTCGACCGACAAGCCGCCGAGCTCGCCTGGCGGTCCTGGTTGCAAAGCCCCGAGAGCGGCAACCCCAACGCCCCCGCGAGACGAATCACAACTAAATCCTTGTTCATCACTCCCCTCGTCTGCCCCAAAGGACAGCGACTCGATCGGAACGGCTGTGTTCAGGTGATTGCTATTTCCATTATAATGTGTATCTACGATATACTTGATTTTCAGATATTAATGAAGTATATGATAAGTCATTTAAATATGTCTCATTCATTTTCTAATAAATATTGAAAATGCAAATAGAAAAAGAATTTAATATAAATGGTGGCTGTCGACAACTGACCAGCTATTCCACTTAGTCTATAATTATCGTAATCAAGTCGTAAAGGTACGAGTAGATTGGCGTAATTATGTCAACTAAGATCGTTAATTTATGGTTTCTTACGATGGTTGATGGGCCCCACATTTAATGAGTAATAATTAGCATTTATTCTAAAACAATAAAAGCCACGGCCTTCGCAGCTTCCTTTAACTTATAAACTTTCATTTCAGGCTAATGTACTAAATGTTATTCAATCTTCTTTACAGGTAGTGACCGTCGACAAAAATGAACACGAGCGCATCTTACTTGAACATCTAAATGCATTGTTCACATCGGCGCCTGGTGGCAGCGATGTGCAATACGACTACGGTGATGAAGAACCGGGCCCTCTGCAGCTCTCTATACCCATCGGTTATGATGCGCAAGCAGCTCCTCTGCAATCTCAAGATCAAGGCGACACGGTAAATGCTTTAAAATACTAACGTACGAACAGAAAAGTTTATTACACAAGTCCATAACTTAAAAATCATTACATATTAACATATGTGTAATATATGTTTTCAGGGGCAGGACCTCAACTACGTGAAAATCGACAAAAAAGGCGATGATGCACAAACAAACGATGCCAGTATAGAGGCTGAATTAGAACTGCTGAAACTCCAACAAGGTCACAACAATACAACTGGTACTAAAGGCAGCCACGTTGTAAGCCAAAACGCACTCACTAATTTCTTAGCCTACCACGAAAAACCAAAGCGTGACAGTCCTATGATCAATTCTAGTGAAATAGAAACTTTGAATTCCACGGACGTCGGACAGAAGGAAGAAGTTTTTGGACACGTAGCTGTTGATCCCGTATTATACGATACTTCTTATCAAAATCAACAATTGCCAACAGAACACGAAATTGAATATTCTAGTGAAACATCATCGACTGACAGTCCATTAAATGCCCCCAACGATACAACTATCGAAAGCAGCTCTACAGTCTCTAATAATGCAACGAAACAAACAGACTCGCCAGAATTGAAGAAGGAAAATGATAATTCTAAATTAAATCCAGAACATGATTACTCCGACATTGGCGAAGCGATAAAGATAATAAGCCGATTCGCTGAAGTTACTACTGACGACAATTTCGCTAAAGACAAAAGTAATTCCTCGAAAGAAGAAACTAGCAGCATTTTGGGTACTCGTACGAAACTTCAATACCGACGTAACAAACCAAAACCGGCAGAACCGGCGGAGGACACAGCGGTCAAGACCCTAGACCAGATATCGGATGACGAAAAACATCAACAAAACCATCCAACTAAAAATCTATACTTTAGATATTCTTGGCCAAACCATTTACGTTCACCACAGTCTGACTATCCTTTCAAAAATGTACAAGACTACTGGCCGGGACAGCGCCACGTTGGAGGGGTTTATGCAATGCACGAGAATCCACGGCGACATCACCACACTTATCCCCATAATTATTTCCGGCCACGCACGTATCCTTACACAGACTACTCTCAGTTGTACCCGAGGCTGCGTGAAAACTACTCCGGACTTCATCGATACCCTCACAGAGTGGCGCGTCACGAGGCTAGTCCGATGCGACCCCACACCAATGATCAAGACCTTTACACCTTACTCGGTCTCAGACATTGGTTCAGCGGCGAAGGCACTTCGAAGAGATAGATCGCTTTCCCAACATCGATCGTAGATAAAATTGACGTTACCCGACGACATATAATGGAAGCTATGGGAAAATGTTTAACTCAAATATTAACTCTCAAATAAACAATTGCATTTAAAATTAATATTTGTTAACAATTGTCAACTTAGAAACTTCGTGTCGTCTTCTTCGTCCATAGCTTTCAATATATTAGCTTATTTATTTCAAAGCCAAATATTACAGTCATAGTTAATTATTTTCTTAGCTGTATAAGTTTTTGTAAATACTCTTCATATTAAGCGTTTAATTGCAACTAAAAATGTAATTGTTCTAATAGTATTATCGTTGTTTTGTATTATGTAAATTGTTGTATCAATAATTATTTAATTTATGTCTATTTTAACGATGTATATTTTTCTCGCTTTTTATATTTGTTGTTGTGAATTAGTCGAATGTACCTAATGCAAAAATGTGTTGTCGTATTTAGTTGTCGTACAAATGTAACCGGCGCGGGATTGCCACAGATAATAATCGAAATGATTATTATTATAAAGTAGGTACTTACTTGTAGATAGAGCTGTGGACGCATACTTTTTTTTACTTTTTCAATGTAGATATAGATAGGTTTGTATTCTATTATTTGAATTTTCAATACAATCAAAATGAATTTAGAATCATTCAACCCACCTACCTGCCTAGTATGAAAACTTTCTCAATGCAAGTTATTTTATTTTAATTTTTATAAAAAAAATTCTTGATTTAACAATTTTGCTTTAGATAAAAACTTGCCAAATCTTATTGTCAATGCACATAAACTTAATTATTACATATCTCTATGCAAAATAATGTCTTGTAATGCATACTATGAATATTCAAATATTCTTTGTAATGTTATTAAAATTAAATCCTTATTGAAACAAAAATAACTGAATAATTACCCATATAATGATCCCACCAAAGTTTAGTTTAAGTCTTTAGTATCTTATACAATAAAATTATTTAATACTAATATGTAAGATGTATATCTAAGTGAATAAATATTTTCAGAGCAATTCTTAAAATATAGTATTCAAATACATACTAAATTATATTACTTAAATTTTCCAGAGATGAAACTAATATTTTAAAATAATATAATGCAATCTAAACAAAACAATATAAATATTTTTAAACCAGTGTATCACATGTATTCTTAGCTTAAAAGATAAAATATTTTTACTATTTCAATTTGTTACTATTTTTGGATATGTCAGTTTCATAAAATAATTTTTAACTGTGTACATCTACTGATTCCTGAATAAGATTTTTGAGCAACTAAACTATAACTACTATTGCAATTTTTAACTATTCTGTACAAATAGAATAAGTATTAACCATATCAATGTTGGAAACTTGATCTTAACTAAAAAATGTATTTTAAAAAACTTTTTCTGCATACTGATGAATACATAATCAAAAATATCAATGCCAGTATTTTATTGTAAATATAAATGTTATATTAAAACGATTGAAATGAAATCATATAATGTATTTTTATTTTACTCGCGAAAAAAACACATTTATGAGTTTTGGATATTTTATTGGAAAAAAAAACATTTTCTTACTAAGAGTATGAACTATTAGAGCTACATATGATAAACAACATTGTTCACATATATGAGATTCTCTGGTCTTGCATATACATCAAGGCTCAAGCTTAAAATAACCCAAACATACAACACATACAAACATAATGTAAACAATTGTGATATATAAAATTGTATGTCAATAAAAATAATTAAAACATCAAGTAATAATCAAGACCATGATATAATTTACAATCTGATTTTTTTTTGCATAACACATTTTAATAGCCAGCTATACAATATAAAAAAATAAACGAAATTAAATTATTTTCTAATATTCAGTGTCAACATTTTACAAAACTAAGTATTAACCTTACGAGTAAATATTTTGTACAAAATATCACAATGAAAATACTTAAGATATCTTGGTGACACAAAAATTTCACTAAATAGCCTTATGCTTAAAAATTTACTCTTTAGTGTGGCATTGCATTGTTGCACAATAACATATAAAATTCTACATATGTATATAAATTTTCTACCTGAAGTATATGCAAGAACAGCTTGGATTTTATTGTAAAGAAGAGTATCGGAAATATTTACTGGGCTTTTTTGTTCAGAGTATAATCTCTATTTAAACACCCAGCCTCTTGTTACAAACTTAACATTGATACTTTGTCTTTTTGAATATATCATGAAATTACAACTTAATAATATGTAAGTACTATCGGAAACAAATATCCATCCAAATTTGAAAGTTTCCATTTTGTGATCTCATCTGAACTCATAAATTTGGATGCTGTGTTCCGGGACATGACTTAAAGTCAAAGATTGATACCTGAAAATTATTAAATACTCAATATGGCAACATAAAATAAATTTATAAACATAAAAAAAACTAACAGTCATGAAAAGACTCTTACCACATACCTATAAACTATGACTTATAACTATAAAAACATTACAATTAACATTAGCTTACCATTCAGAACTTCTATGATAATAGTAACCCTCTATTGTGGCAGCAGACTTATGGAAGCATATATAATAGAAACCAGCAAATGAAGCACCATTAATATCTTTGATTGTATGGTCAGGCACAAGAAAATGTTCTTTCCATCTCATAAATACATAATCAGCTTTTTCAAGTGTGTCATAGTCAAATGAATCTGAATTAAATGTCTTCAAATATGGTACAAAAAGGTCAAATTTACTCTGCAATTTAAACATGAAATTTATCAACACAACATTTCATAGGATAAGTAATACAGTTAAAGTACATAAGACCAGCTACATCTATACATATTGTAGAATAAATGATAATAATATGACAAGTGTTCTAATTAGAACTTCCTACAATATCCATTTCAAACAATGACTGTGGTACAAAGTTTATATTTACATTAAGCTTACCCAATGTTTTCTATCAACATCCTCATCAGCGTCCCATTTTCTTGTGAGGAAGGGATATTTAGCCGATATAATTTCGCCATCAAAAAACGTGGTCAGTGTGGGAAATTCTTCTGTTAGCCCCTTAATCTTAAGATAGCCACAGAGATATGAATTTTCCTCATCAACATGCTGAAATAACAAAGAGTTATATAATTTAATTCATCAAAACTATTATCATTCTAACCACACATTCGAATGTTTATCTTGTTATTTGTTTACAATAACATACGTATTTCCTCAGTTACTAACCTAAAATTAAGTTATATATATCATATTGGATAATAAAAAACAATCGCAAGATACAAAGAAGCAGATTTTCTGTATTTGCGTATTTTGTTTTAAAATACTAACCTGTAAAACTACTTCGACTTCGTATGAGTTTCCTTTGGATGCTTGATGACCGTGAAATTTTGATCCGTTATATAGTAATGACTTTGTTACACCGGGTTGTTTTGAGTTTGCCGGGGGAGGTGGAGTTATATCAACTTTAACTGGCATTATTTTCCATTAAAACGGTGACCTAACTTACACAAAATAAACTGTATGTAATGATGACAGATAATTTGACAATCGCTTTCATAAATATCTTTCTCCATTTTTCTTTGACATGTTTAATTTTCATTAAATTCTATATGAAAGCTTATCTGTATCCATATTGAAAATATCTTAAAAATATTATTTTAATTGATTTACCAATATTGACTTCATTGAAAAATGTTTTTAACTTCTTAACAGCATATCCAAATACAAAGAACAACACATAAAAACTTAAAAACCATTATAAGCTTTTAAGATTGGTTAGATTTTAATTTAACTTATGAAATAAAACTAAATAAAACAGCAACAAGTGTAAAACTTAGGAAAATAATTAAAAGAATAAAAATTCATTGGAATCAGGTGCAATAATTTTATCTGGTATACGTCATCTACAAATCTATGGTATTAATATAATGGTAGGGTTTCATCGTTTCGTTGGTTTCGTTGACCGAACATCTTGTTTATAAATTGTTTTGTTTTGTAGTTTAATTTAACAAATGTTTTTATAATCGTTGCTGTAACATCATGATTTCTTATATAGTTGTGCAAAGCATAAGTATTCCTAAGCGCCATATTTCTGTGTACCTTTTGTGATCAAAAAGCAATAGTCGCGATATTTTCTCACATAATTATGGTTAACTGACGTTACTCTGTGCATCCTCAATTATGGCAGAGCCAGGTTATTATCACGGCGATTATATTCGACACCCTGTCCTTTATGAACTTGGTATCAAATATGGAATTAAGACGGAATGTATTCCAGAAATAGCATTGCCGTCTAAGTTGGAGGAACTCAAGGATGTCATACGTAGAGAGATACGTAAAGAGTTGAAGATAAAAGAAGGCGCGGAGAAACTCCGTGAAGTGGCAACTGATCGAAAATCACTTTCTGACGTAGCAAATATTGTGAAAAAGGCTAATATAAAACTAAATGAACTCAAATCAGATTTACAAGAACTGGAATCCCAGTTACTTCTCTCCCGAGGTCAATCTACTCCCACCTCTCCCGAGGACTTATCTTATGATGAAGAAATCATCTTGGCGTCGGAGGCAGCGCAGCAGCAGCGGCAGCTGGGCGAAGGGACTGCAGACCGCAAACTGGCCTCACTTGAAAAACAGTTGAATATTGAACTAAAGGTAAAACAAGGTGCAGAAAACATGATTCAAAGCATAAGCAGTAGTAACCAATCCCGTGATAAAAAGCTATTGGCAGAGGCACATCAGATGCTTGCTGATTCTAAAGATAAAATTGAATATCTTAAGTTACGTATATCCAAAATGTGTAAACAGCAAAAGGAGGATAGTGCTGGTGCCAATGGTGATGGCAGAACCTCCGATATGAGTGGAGTAGATCCATTGCTCGATGAAAGGATAGCAGAGCTGAGGAATCGTTTACGCATAGAGGCTGCAGTTGTTGAAGGATCTAAGAATGCTATCAGATTATTGCAAAGTGATAAAAAGGTGACAGATAAAAAAGCACTGCAAGAAGCCCAGACAAGTCTTCTGGAATCATCGCAAAAATTGGATTTATTACGCTTATCCTTAGACATGCGCCGTCAAGAACTACCAGTGGAGAGTCCTGCATTTATTGAATTAGGACATGAGTTACGCAGTACTGGCTCAAGCCCAGGATATGTTAGCTTATCTTGGGGCGGAGGATCAAGAGCTCAGTTTATGTCTCCAACACCCATGATTAGTCCTTGTGTACAAGTTACTGGTACCCTTGAGGTAAGGTTAATGGGTTGTCAAGATCTTTTGGAGGAGGTGCCCGGCCGCAGCAGACGTGATCCATTGGCCAGCCCTTCTGACTTAAAGTCCTTTGTAAAGGGTGTCACAATTCGTAATTCTATGAAGTACACATACAGCATTAAAGAAGATACAAGTAATGAAATTATGGCTGTCCTAAAATTGGACAATCATACAGTGGCTCAAACAAGTTGGCGGCCATGTTCTCAACAGGCTTGGGATCAGAGGTAAGGCATTCATTAAAATATCTGAATAACATATCATCCCAACTAGACAGGTAAGTATATTTTTTGTTTTCTAATTGGTTTACAATGTAGCCATTCTATATAAAGAAATTGATACTATAATTGTAATGTGCTACTGGCAAGATCAGAAACCATAAGATTTCATTATAAACCATATTAAATATTGTCAGTGTAATTGGATTAAATAAAATAAAGTCAAGGTTTTATATTATATTTTGATACCTATAGGGTTAACATTAAACCTCAATATTTCATAACTTTTAAAAGTAAAACCACTGTTTTATTTCGAGACATTTTTTGTGTAACAGTATTGAATCTTGCATCATTGATTTCTACATGCATTGCTCAATAAAATGCACTTTCAATTTTTAACTACATTTAATGTATTTTATTGCAATGTAATTTTTAATGGGTATTATAATGAAAAAACATTTATTTTATAGTTATGCAGTTACTATAAACATAGTGGGTTGTACTAATATTCCCCCTTCCCTTGAAATGTAATCTCCAACTTGTATGATTACTCACCTAATCTTATCTGTAGGCCATACTTACATATTTATATAATGACTAAGACACCTGACACACAAGCAATTTTATGGTACCTATATGTACCTAATATAACTTTATATATAGTACTATGTAGTTATACTTAATATTGCTTATATTTTCACCTTTTTGACTATTATTTCATTTATAATTTCATCTGAAACGGATATAAATCTACTTTAACTATAAACTTTGATGCTTTTTAGTATTCTTATAAGAAATATCTAATAAGAACAAACACCAACCCTACCTACCTACCTCATTTTGTTAAACTCCTTGTTAAATACCTTAGAATGAGAAAGTTTTCTATTGGTGGATTTTAACTATCTGCTTATTATTTAGACAATTTTTTTTATTTATGAGCCACATATGTGCCTTAGACTATAAGCCATAAAAAATTATTTCATGACTTAATTGCTATAATAAATTTTTGTAAAACTGCTTCGTGGAGTAAAACATAATGTACATTTTATTTACAAAACATGAACATTATTCACTGCAACTCTTCGGTGTTTTGTCTATTGAGAACAAAGCAAGATTAGTTAATTTTAAATATAGAAACTAAATCACACCAATAAACATGAAAAATATGTTTCAACAGATTTTTAGAGATTACTGAATCTGTATCACAAAAAAATGTTATATGACCACTGATTTTAACATTGGCAACAATCAGATAGTTATTAAGGTCAATTATTTTTTCTTATTGTTTGTTTTCTTATTGATGTTTCTAGTATTTTAAATGCATTTAGACATATGTTTTTCTTTATTTGAACCTTTAAATTTTCCAGATTCACAATTAAGCTGGATAAATCAAGAGAACTTGAAATAGGTGTTCACTGGAAAGATTGGCGTGGTCTGTGTGGAGTCAAATTTTTGCGATTGGAAGAATTCATTGACGACATTCGACATGGAATGGCTTTAGAACTTGAACCTCAAGGCCTTTTGTTTGCAGAAATTAAGTTCTTGAATCCAATAATTTCGAGAAAACCAAAACTGCAGCGTCAAAGAAAGATAATTAAACAGCAGGGAAAGAATATTCCACGTCCATATGGCGAAATGCATATTCCAGCCGTTATACTGGGCCGACTTTTAAAACGTTCATCACCATCTATTCAAAATATCCAGTCAGCCCATATAAGTCAACCCCAGCAACATATTTATGAGCCACCTTCTATTGACAGCAAGGAGATTGAAAATCCAAATGCTACCTTTGTTGGCATGGCAGGTGTGAGACCACTCGGCTTACCTGCTACTCCAATTGCACCTCAAGTGCCTATCACGCCCCCTCCGAAACCGAGTCTGCCTTTACACCCTCCCCCTAATGTTTCAACACTTCGAATGGAAAAAGAACTACAGGAAGCATTTGCATTTTTAGAAGATTCATACACCAGGGATAATTATGTTCCAAAAGACCCACAAACACCATCATGCAACACACCATTAGTTGAATATCCACCATCACCATCCCCTAAACTTGTTTTGGAATATCCAAGTAATGAAGATCAGATTGTTGAAATTACTAGTAATATGAGGTTGTCGTCTTCTCGTTCGTCTTCTGTTATTGAAACGCTAGGCAAAGAAATAGATTCTAGGAGACAGTCTGGCGAAATGTCCATGGAAAGTTTCAGACTCCTTAGTGTCCTGGGAAGGGGCCATTTCGGGAAAGTAATCTTATCACAGTACAAACCTACTAATGAATATTTCGCAATCAAAGCTTTAAAGAAGAGTGATATAATTGCTAGGGATGAAGTAGATTCCCTTTTATCCGAGAAAAGGATTTTTGAGGTAGCTAATGCTATAAGACACCCATTTTTGGTGAATTTGTTTGCATGTTTCCAGACAGAACAACATGTTTGCTTTGTAATGGAATATGCTGCAGGAGGTGATCTTATGATGCACATTCATACTGATGTTTTCACAGAACCTAGGGCAGTGTTTTATGCAGCTTGTGTAGTATTAGGCCTACAGTATTTACACGAAAATAATATTATTTATAGGGATTTAAAATTAGATAATTTACTGCTTGATACCGAAGGATATGTTAAAATTGCTGATTTTGGTTTGTGTAAAGAAGGAATGGGATGGGGAGATCGTACTGGAACATTCTGTGGCACTCCAGAATTTTTAGCACCTGAAGTGTTAACAGAAACCTCTTATACAAGAGCAGTTGATTGGTGGGGTCTTGGCGTTTTGATATTCGAAATGTTAGTCGGCGAATCGCCATTCCCTGGGGAGGACGAAGGTGAAGTCTTTGATTCAATTGTTAATGATGAAATTCGTTATCCTAGAACTTTATCTCTAGAAGCTATAGCATTAATGCGCCGTTTATTAAGGAAAAATCCAGAAAGACGTTTAGGTTCATCCGAAAGGGATGCAGAAGATGTTAAAAAACAAGCATTTTTCCGTAACGTTAACTGGGAGCAATTGCTTCTTCGCAAAGTGAAGCCGCCATTCGTGCCAACTATAAACAACTTAGAAGATGTAAGTAACTTCGATAGTGAGTTTACCTCTGAAGCACCGTTACTGACCCCACCAAAAGAGCCACGCCCACTAAGTGCTACAGATCATAAACTGTTCCAAGACTTTACATATATGGCAGATTGGTGCTAGGCAGCAAGCAAGTAAAGTTGTTATTATTAATATATAGTATAGTTTCATTATTTTAAAAACTATAAACCCCCTTTGCCTTACAAAACTGAGTGAATTTCTGTATTTTGATATCTATCTAATTGATACTATGTAAGGGTGTCTGAAGAGATACTCATTTTAACTTGTATGTAATGCAGTTAAATGCAATATTTTATAATTATTGAAATTGTGTAATTTAAGACCGTAAGTTTTAAATAATGCTAATCTTTATTTTTTTAAACATCATGTTTATGTAGTTATAAAATTGAATAACTTAGAATATAATGATTATTGTTAAGAAAAGGCGTGTCAAATAAATCTTTACGTTTTCAGTCAATTGTTTACTTATTCATTTAAATAAAGTTATCATTAAACGCTGTCATTATTTTTTTAACTAAATCTATAATGACTTAATATCTTTAAGTAGAAAATGAGCACAATAACATAACACCTTCGAGGAGAAGATATCTATTTACAACAGTAAGTTTATAACAATTTAATTTAATGAATTTAAAAATATTACCAGTATTAACTTAACTGAGTATTTTCTCCAAATACATAATTTTAGTTAAAGACAATATACAATACAGTTTTTAACTAATCTGAACATTATTTTAAAGTGAAAAAAAAAAGAATTTTAAAAGTACAATTTCAAATATGAGTTGAAATTAACATAAAGTTCACACTATGTACACAACTCACACACAGAACTAAGTCTCAAATATGAATTCATGTAAGGTTCACATCCTTGAGCCTTTGTGTTGGAGCACCTTAGCCCTATCTGTTGGCTCAATATCATTGCTGTTCAAAGAATTTCCACATTCTCTACTTACAACACAGAGAAATTCAGAATGCTCATCATTGCCATAATTGTACTGCGAGCCAATATTTATCAACTGCTCGAACTTCCATCCGTCTGACAAAGTCGACATCATTTGTGTCAACTCTTCTTCGTGGAATTGTAATACTCTGTAGACATGCTTTTTAGAGTCTTTCAGTGGCCGTCGTTCCCGCAAACATATTCTTTCCTTAACTAATCTGATGAGTTCAGTAATGTTATAAAATTCAGCTTCTTCCAAAACTCCCTCCTCAGCAATGTCGTTATTGATAACGAGTTTGCCGTGTCGAAGATAATTTAAAACTGGTGAAAAATACGTTGGATCTCTATCTATTAAATATGCTCCGGTTTCATCCTGGAACACACGTCTTTATATTATTTATGACCAAAAGTATCAATTAAAACGTATGATGTAAACAGAACCAAAATCATACTAACCCTGTCTGAAATTAAGTCACTGTCCTCTTGCACCAATCGATAAAGAAACGAATTTGGGTCTCTTGACAATGTTGTCTTTGTAGTTAAGAAGTAAGTTCCGCCAACGTTTAGTTTAACCCATTGTTTACTACTTCGTCTTTCATTGTTAAATTTTTGTGTATTTTCTTTTAAATAATCGCCATCACACATCGAGTCCGCCATGGTTGGAAAGTATAGACAAAAAATCTTGCATAGAGCATTTTTGTACGTTGACGTCAACTTTACTGTTTAAGTCATTAAAAGTAAATTTTACTCTCAACCAAATCCAAATTATTATGATGAACTTGGTATATGTAAGGTCTTCAGTTATTTGATAAAATAGATGCCCTGTAAACAACGACCTGATATTGTAGGAATATTGGAAGGTATTAATTTTTTTTTTTACTTTAAAATTTATATTCTGTGGTGTTTAGATTTTTTTTTCTTGTTTATTGAATCTTTTTTCATTGTCTATGGAAAGCTTACTTTCGTCCGTCACAGAAAGTTCGAATTTTTATTTTGGAAATTCCTTTATAACACAATTTAGCTTTGAGGTAACTTAGTAAAGACATATTGTAGAATGTGTTTAGATAGAATGTTCCTTTCATAAAGTAATTCTAGAAAATCATGATGAGCAACAATATAGAAAACGACAGATCAAGCTCAACTGGAAAAATGTATCCAATAGATCTTGCACCACAAAAGATTACTATAGTTAAGAGCATGTCCAATACAGAAGTGAAAATGGCTCATTTAATTACTGGTCAAACAAAAACATCAGGGTCCGGTCAATTAATAACTCACGCTGGCTCTGTTGGCTTAATGCGTTCAACTGCACAAATTATAACTCCTGGCGTCTCATCTCAGGTAATTATCTATTTTTAACATTTTACTATTCTAATATTACAATGTTAATCGCTCCAACAGTAATGTTACATTCAATTTTAGTTTTATCGAGTAAAACCAAGTCACATTATCATAATGCGCGTCAAAAATGATGGTTGGCAAAAACTACGAGCTCTTTTGCACAACCACAAACCTATTTCCTAACAAACTGCATCCTTAACATCAATCAATCCATATATTTACATTGTTTACAAATACACAACAAGAAATATCTACAGAAGCTTCTTAAACCAACTTAGCCTTTCTCCAGTTTAGCCTTTGTTGAAATAACCTTTTATATAGTATTTCTTTTGTATCTCATAATTCAAATAAACAAAGACTTCAAATCCTATTATAAATCTTGTTTCAACATTCTTAAATCACTGGATTTTTAAAATTTATAGTTTTTCTACTATATGAACTGCTACTAAACTAGATGCCAAATGCCACTTTCACCTTTGTATGCCCCAGAATCAAATTTTCTTGACCTTCAGAATTTTGCATATATACTTTTGATTGCTTTTTATAACCTTATATCTACATCACACTTTAGTTTTCAATGACTAATCTATCTTACATTTAAAAAATAATCCAGCTCTAGCTTACTAAAACAAATAATGATCAATACTTAAGAAATGTTCAATTCTATGTTACAGCCACAGATGATAGTAAGTGGGCCACCAATATTCCAAGGTACCCCAATAATAAGCCAAGGCTCACAGTTATTAGGACAGACGTCACAGATTATAACCCAATCACAGATAATAAACTCCAGCGGTATCATAAGTCCAGGCACACAAATAATTAGTCAAGGAAGCCAATTGTCTGCACAAGTTTCTAACTCCAGTAGCGCTGTCTCTAATATACAATCAAGTGTAGCATCATCAATTAGTGGAACACAAGTGCTTAATGTTGGCGGACAACTTGTGAGTGGATCTGGCAATTTGGTTGTCAGCTCTTCTGTTAGAACAATACCTCCAAGTGTGCGAGTGCTACCTCCTTTACCTCATAATAGACCAGGTAAGTTAGATTAGCTTCTATTTTATGATGACTATCAGTTAACAGATTCCATAGGACATGAATTACATTTATTGTTTTATTTTGTTACTTGCTGTTGTCTGTGACTATGATGTAAAAAAAATTAAACAATAGCCTATGAAATGCTGGAAGCATCAGCCTATTATCTACATCACTGCAAATTTTAAAAAGTTAAAAGTATCTATAATTTAAACCCAAAAGCAATGTATTGGTTTTATTGGTATTAAACACAATGTTATTAAATTAAGAGATATTTTCTTTTTCAGTACTATCAAGTGTAAATGTGAGTACAGCAAGTAGTGTGTTAGTGAGCAAAGCAGTGACAAGTCATGTGCCAAGAGGTCTGGCCGCTGGAGCCTCACTGGCAGTGCGTCCAGTAACACCCATAGCTGCCTCACAATCTGCCGGTAATCAAGGTAAGGATAATGTGTTATGTTTAAAAGTAATATTATACACTTGGAAAGAATTGTTTGTATTGAATTCAAATGTTTACAAGGTTAACAGAGTTAAGTTAAGAAGTCACAGAAATTAAAAAATAAATGTTTTGCCAAACAACAAATAGGATTTTTAAAAACAAAGCATAATGTTTATATAATCAAACTAACTTTGAATGTAATTCCAATATTACTATAATTCAATAGATAATACTTAAAAGATACATATAATGTTTACATTTTTATTAAACTATTGACATTTCAATGTCATAGAGTAGACAACATACATTGCATGACAAAGTTTATTTAGAACTTAAATTACCACAGATAGCTAAAAGTGACAATAATTAATTCTTGTTTTGGGTTTAATACTTTTTTTTATTAAAGAAATATTCTTATTTCTATCTAAGTGCCTTCCTAAGTTATTTTTACTACAATCAATACATACTTCTTTTGGAAAGGGAAAGAACAAAATAACTTGTTTAGTGCCGGTAACATATGTGCAATCATGTAACTTTTTTTATATCCTGCTTATGACAGTATACTTTGTAAGCAGACAAGTGTACCAGTGAACTTGCATGTGATAAAGTTCATCTCATAAGTTTTTTTATATGCCGTTGGCTGCCCTGCAACCAAGGTGTTGTAAATCTTCACCGGATTCATGGATGGGTGGGCGCTCAGTGCGTTTGGACTCATCTCACACCATCATCGGTGTAGAGTAGCGGCGGAACAGGCGGCGCTCAGTCGCCAGCCGTGGGCTCGGTGCCGGAGCCCTTGAGCGGTGGTAGGTACCTCCCTTGCAGGGAGACCAACAACGTAGCCGTTACCACCGCGGCATTATTATCTGTCGGCCCAAGTAATTAAACTGTCCAACATCAAATATACAAAAAGGTTACAAATTAAGGTATGTGGCCTTGTGTACTTCTGCCTTGATAAGAACAGTTTTTGTATTGAGAAGGATGATGTCACGTGGGCCCAAAGGGATAAATGCTCCAATATAGATTTCATTATTTCTAAAAGTTTGGTCATATAAATTTTCAGTTTAACTGTAACATTATAAAATGTATCCATGCTTGCAGGTGGCGGTGCATGGTCGAGTGGGAAAAATCGTAATGCGCTAGTGTACCAAGGACGCGGGCTAGGGTCCCGTTCCCGCGCGCCCACGCCCACGTCTACGCCTCCCGCGGCCTCGCCCACGCCCACGCCAGTGTCGACGCCCACACCGCAGCCCAGCCAATCTCCGCACTCCTCTATCATCACTTTGACAACCAGCTCCATACTTACTTGTAAGATATTTAAATTTCTTACCATTGATTACTTAGAGTAAAATTCTCATATTAAATGTACACTAAGTGCGACCCTGAGTGCGTCAGTTTAATTATTTATCATGCTCAACAGCCAGCGGAGTGATATCAAATGCGGTGCGTGGGGCGGCGCCGCGCGCGCCCACGCCCACTCCCATATCGACGAGCACTGCGCCGCGCCCCCTGCCGCTATTGCAAAGAAGCTACCAACCTACTAAGGTAAGCTATTTCCTTTTCATCTATATCTATATCTAAACATGTAAGCATGTAGCATGTAACATGTACATTGGAGTGTTTGTTTGTAGTATAAAAAGAACAATTCCAGATTTCGGGAAGATGGTGAATTTGCATTGCTGATAACGAATCGAATCGCATTTAAAAAATGTTTGTCTGTCTGTCTTTCCGCAAGCTGCATTTGTTCCGGGTAACCTCCAAAACGGCTGGGCCGATTTCGACCGAACTTTCACTGAGGGGTAGCTGACTTAGACGGGCATATCATAGGCTACATTTTTTCTTAATTTCGCGATATTTAAATGGCGACCGGACCGTTATCTCTGGAGCATGTGGACCTACTTGGACGGGACTTTGACTGGAGGTAGCTGGTAAAAAGTAGATGCACACGGGAATGTTATAGACGACTATTTTTGTCAATTCCACGCAAATGAAGTTTGCGGGCGACCGCTTGTAGCTAATAGTTTTCATTAAGCACCATTTCATTGTGCATTAATTTTATTCTGTTAGGTTGTCAGCGTTGCGAATGTTGGCGTGCGCGGTGTGGTGGGCAACAGCGCGCCCTCGCAGCTGTACTACGAGGTGCCGCTCGGCAGCCAGCAGCACGTCGCGCACCAGCAGCAGCAGCAGCAGCAGCACGCGCCGCAGCTGCTACACCAGGTGCAGCAGCTGCCGCGCCCCCTCACACCATACAACCACAACCAGGCCGCAGTACAAGGTTTGCATCAATTATTTATTACAATATTGTTCCTGAATTTTCTTTAGCAATTTAAAATGGATATATTTTTTTTTGTTTTGTGCTTAATAATGTGTTCTGTTTGTATAGTAAGCGTTGTGAACAGCGGACAGAGTGTGAATGAGGCGCGACAGCTGGCCACCTCTCTTGCCGCCTCCACCATCCTGCCCAGACCTTCTATACTAAGAAAACGAGATATTGATGGGTAAAAAATTATTGTCAAATATATATATACAAAAACAATTAATTGGTTTGTTAAATATGTGCAGTATTTTAAATCCATAGACTGAGGCTAATGACGGGGTATTTTTCAAAATATATTATTAGGGTTGAATTTTCAGACACAGTCAGTATGATATGTAACAATTATATTTGCAGTTCACCGTCAAAGATCAGTAGCTATCTGGCGAGCGGCGGCACTTTCGCTTTGGGCGTGTACCGCGAGGTTACCAGCGGCGGCGCGCCCGGCTGGGAGGACGTGCCGGCGGGCGCGCGCGGCCCCGGCTCCGGCTCCACCACCATGTCGGCCGCCTCCTCGCCGCCGCACGACGACACCGAGCACGCGCAGCTCGCCATCGCACCCGCGCCCACGCACACACCCGATCTCTCGCCGCGCAAGAAGCCTAGGAAGCAAATGTAACAACATAAATGAACCTTTTCATTTAACTGATAACTGATTACAATCGATGTGATACGAATTATAACCATTGCAGGTTGAGTAATGAGGTGCGGCAGTGCGAGTTGACGACGGAGGACGCTCCGCCCACGCCACCGCCCCCCGCCAACCCTCCCAAGCGTAAGTAAAACTCGTGTAAATATTTAATAGCTGTGAAGTCTTCGTTTTTTGTTAAAGCTGCCTTTACCACTGTTAAATGTTCAGTTGTAATAAAGTAGGTATTGTCGCAGGTCCGCAGCTGGGGTCGGGGTACGTGTGCGGGTGGCGCGGCACGGCGCTGCACTTCGTGCGGCCGGCGGACGTGCGCCGCCGCGAGCCGCGCGCGCGCGACATCCTCGCCATCGCCAGCCAGCGCCACGTGCTCGCCAGCGCAGACGGCTGGAAGGTGCACCACCTCACCGCGCAGATGGACGACCTGGTGAATTGCACGTTCACACCACTACACACCAACTCACACCACCTCAAACCAACTCAAACCAACTCACACTAACTCACACCAGCTCAAACCACCTCACACCAACTTACACCACCTCACATCAACTCACAGCATCCCCGCACCAACTCAAACCAACTCACATTGTTCTTTTTCTACAAAATAAATGTTAGTAAAAATTGAGAAAGAAAAATTGGGTAAACAAGGGTGGGTTGGGTAAACATTTTCGCATTTCTATACAATTCGACTATGTGATGAAATTCTTACTATTTTATTAACTTTATAAATGCAAGTGTTTACATTAAGGGGTGGATCGATGGTTGTTAGAAGAATCTCCTTAACGGCTGAACGGGTCTCGATGAAATTTGGTATAAATGTAGAACATAGTCTGGAAGAACACATACGATATCTAACATTTTTTTTAATTCAGTGCAGACCGAGTCGCAGTTTACAGCTATTTTATATAAAAAATAAAAAAAAACTTTTATTAAATATATATTGTATTGCAGGTGTC